GTCTTTTTTTTTTTTTTTGCATCCTAAATTATACTTCCCCCTACACAGAGGCCTAACTAGCAAGGTACTTCATAGGAGGACTGAATCAAAATAAGTATTAAATTCCAGTGTTCTGGATTCCCAGAGAATAAAAATAAATAAAAAGAAAAGAAAGTTATACAAAATAAAGGTATTCTTAGTGAGAATGTATTTTAACTGTGTGTCCCAAGCTCATTTGGTTCTGTCTTACCACAGGGTGTTCCCACAGGCAAGTACAAATATTTTGCTTACGATCAATAATAGCAGGGCAACAGAAAAAAGAAAAAAATCAGTAAATGCTCATGTATAATAAATAGAGGTCACTGAAGACGTGAAGATACGCTTTCCCTTCACCTAAGTCCCTCCATATTCACAAAGCTTGGTGTGTGGCTTAGGACTCGCTCTACCCTGGAGTGTCCCCAGCAGGTCTGAGAGCACTGTGTGATGCTGGAGGATGTCTTCAGGTCACTCTGTTCTGTGGTGTTGCTCAAGTCTTTTATGTCCTTGCAGTCATGCTGCTCAGGTGTATCTATTACTGGAAGTCTCCCAACTGTTATTATTGTATTTCTGTTTCTCCCTGTAGTTCTTTCAGCTTTTGCTGCATGTATTTTTGGGTCTGCACATTTTAGCTTCTGTAGTTTTCCTAATTAACTTACTTTGTACCATGATAAATTATCCCTCTTTATCTTTAGTAACTTTGTTGAAGCATGTAGGAACATTATAGCAACTCTGATTCTCTTAAGGCTGCTGTTAACATGTCACAATTTTTTCTAAGGTAAACATATTTCTGCCTGCTATAATTTGTATCTGAAATGTTCTCCAAAGGCCCTTTGAGGCTGTTTGCCATTGTGGTGAGGTGGGTCCCAGTGGGAGAATTTAGCTCACAGCATGCCTGCCCTTGATGAGTGAGGGATGCTGGTTCTTCCTGTCTGTGTCCGGCTTGCCAGGAGGTGAGCGTCTTCCTGTGCTGTGTGTGTCCACCATGGTCCACGGCCTCACCACAGACCAAGAGGCAAAGAGGCTGTTTGCTGTGCACTGAAACCTTCCAAATGGGTGACTTCAGTCATTTTGTAGGTGACAGAAGCAGACTAACACAAAAATTCTGACAATAAGAGGACCCACATATCACAGCAAAAAGGATGTGAAAAAAATTAGATTAGATTAAATTTTATAAAGCATACTTTTACACATTCTAGGTTAAAGCTCAGTAAAGCAAGAACGTGTTTAATGAATCATTTACTCATAAATTTGAAATATGAAAAAAACACAAAAATGTATTTTCTCTAAACTCTTTTCTGTCACTCACAAGCCCTAGGAGAATGAAACGGATGTTAATAGTAAAGGAAATTTAGATCCATTAGGCATTGTCAGGAGTCGGAGATGGGTGACCAGCATGATTTCCTGGAAACACTTTTAAGTTCTCCCTGGATTATCATTGCTTTGCTTTTCATTAGTGAGGTGGTGGTACATAATAAACATACTATGGGAAAAGGCACGGACACCACACTTCTGGTTCTTTCTTACTTCCTTTTCCTGTCTCCTCGCTCTCCCCTCTGCCCATCCTCAGGTTGTCTTGATCTCTGCTGAAAATTAATTGAACACACGTGTGTGAACCCATTTCTGTGTCACAGTACATATATGGATCTCCGTGTCTCTCTTTCACCATTTCCACACTCTGTAGATTGCTGTTCTGTACACTAAGTCTTGGTAGGATCTCTCCCCGGTGTTCCTTTTATTTTTTCTTTTTTTCTTTTTATTTAAGGAGAAAAAGAAAAAAAAAACAGAAAAAGGGTACAAGTAATACAAAATTTAAAAAATAAACAGTAAGAAATCACTAGTTAATAGATTGCACATTCTCATCTTACAAACTGTTGTTCAAGTTACAAAATTGAAGCATATAAAGTGGACTTTCAAACAGTGAGAGTGCAAACAGTTTTGTTCAATGATCCAAAAAACACTAAGTAATATGGTTATCCATCCTACACACTCAAACATATATGCAGTTATAACCTGTAGAGTACTTTCTTTTCTTTTCTGCCAGTTCCTTTTCATAACTGTCTTGGTTAATCAAGGAGATTTGCACTTAGGTATCAGTTATGAATTCAGTTCAACAATATATGCAAGAGTAATGGAATTCTGAGTAATGTCTTATAACAATTTTTTAAAAGGGGAATTTAAAACTATTGAGTCTTCCGGTTCATGAGCGTATCTCCTAGTTTATTAAGCTTTTTTATGCTTATTGATCATAGGTTTGGGATATTTTTAAGAAAAAAAAAAGCCAGGAACTGGCAAAAACTATTTGAAACACAACATGAATTCAAAGAACTTTACATATAATACATAAAGAGTTCTTGAAAAACAATCAAAGTATAAATTTTAAAATGAACAAAATGAGCATAGCATTTGTACATAAAATACACAAATGAGAAATGAACAAATAAAAGAATGTTTTTCATCAGAGGCTAACAGAACATGGCCCATGAACCAAATCTAAGGATTCATTTATTTTCATCAGTTTTAATTGGAACAAAGAAATGTCATTTGTTTATTTTGAATTGCTTCTTATACGTGGTATATACAGAGCTAAGTATCTGAAACAGAGACTGAAAACCCCGAAAACGGAAAAGCTGCAGTACCCAATTCTCTATGCAAAGAACTTAACCACTATTCTGCATCAGTAATTATCACAGAAACAGTGTCATCAAAGCTAAGTTGGGTAGGAATAGCTCAGCAGGAAGACAGGGCTGGGCCCTCCAGTGAGTCAGTGCTGACGATGAGAAAGCATCAGGGCTGTGGCCAGAGGCGCATCTGAAGAAGACTAAAAATGCATGGGTGAAATTTACTACTTCCCTAAGTGACTCTTAGGATACTTAGCAAAATCCCGGGTTTACTGATGTCACCATTTTGAGAATTCCCATCAATTTATTAGGGGTGGATCATCTTCTCCCACCCACCAACAATAAGACTAAAACCACTAGGGCTAAACTAGGACTACCAAGACTAAGACTATAGATTGCTGACCAAGGTTGATGATGTCACCCATGTGCCCATACAACAGTGGATCAGTCTCTCCTAAGTAACTATACTTGTAATCGTGCGGGTTAATCATACAATTCATGTTGTACCTGGTTCAATCCATGTTGTACCTGCCTCATGATTTTATTCTATAAAACTTCATTTGAGAAGTTCCATGGGTAACCCATCCAATACCCCTCCTATTGATATGGGGAAAGAAACCCCAGGCTGCTAGGTGACCAGTATGAGTTAATATTCTCTATGAATGAATAATGGATTTTAGGAACAAAAGAAGTTAATAGCAGAATATATTTATTGCGAGAAAGAAAGCTTCTGTCCAAGAAAGTGAGAGACGGGGTCCTAAGTGGGTATTTGAGGATCCTACCTTTCCTAGGGAATTTTATAGGGCGAAACCACAAAAATAAGTGGGTTCAAGCTGAGGAAAAATGGAAAAACATGGGCATGAGGTGGGACAGAACCATGGCCAATCAATAAAATTATGAATATAATTGTGGGAAAAAGTGATTAAGTCAGGATCAAATGGGGAAGTGAGTCACACAGCAAACAGGTGAATACAGAATGGGCCCTTTTCCTGTAAGGGGTTGGATTAGTGGCTCCTTCTGTCTTCTTCAAAGTGATCACACTGACTCCCCAATTCAGTGGTCATAGTGCATTCAATCTTGACCTCCAGAAACCACATCTCGGAGGCAGACACTATCTGTTGCTACAGGGTCTGCACCTGGCCTGTCAGGGGCCCAAGCAGGCAACTCACCAGGAGGAAAATGCCATCACCACGCTGTTCCCAGGGTGCTATGTGCACTTACAGTCTCCATCTGCTAAAGTACAAATAATTGCAAACAAGAATATTGACTGCCTGCCACCACTTAGGTTCCACAGGATGGAGAAGAAACTCAAAATAATTATATGCCCTTCTCTACAACATGCATTGATCTGTTTTTAGGACCTGTATCAAGAACTGGAACTGTCTTTGAGACTTCATATGTGCTTTTCTTGTTTCTAATTGCCTTTTGGTCACTTTAATTTAATTCACCTACTAAAATAAGGAAGGAATAGGAAGGGCAGCTAGGTCCCACATGATCACATAGTAGGGTACACAAACTCAGCCTCCATTATCAATAGTGTTCACATGTCATGTGTACATTACAGAGCAGATAATAGCATGTATCACAGAAAGACCTGGCAGTCTCTTCATGAGGTTATTAATAAGAGAAGAATTTGGATCAATATTTGACTCACTAGTATAGAAAATGTGGAAGAATAAATCTAACATACATGACCTAAGAAGTATAGTTTATGGAGCCAGTAGGTCTCATTATACTTATACTATTAAAATCTAGTAAATAAAACTTTTTATCCAGTTTTGAAAGAATAGCATTTATTATGCTTATAATTCCCCCCCAAAACCAAAACAGTTTAACCTCCAAAGAATGTGGAATGGAATTGTATCACATGATATTGATATGGTTTTATTATGTGTAAAATTGAAATAGATTTTATTATGTGTAAAATTGAAATAGATCCTAAAGCTCAGTAAGGAAGGAGGAGATACAATAATTGTGTTGCACATGATTGCCTTTCACAGAAAAGAAAAGACCTATGTGGAGAAGAGTAAACACTTGTCAGTTTAGTGACAAGTCAGATGATTAGGAGACTCTGTGGCTTCTGGACAATATCACTATAAATGTGTCCCTCAAACTAATCTATTGAGTAGCATCTCTTAGCCAGCTCAATCTGCAGTTCTTTTCAGCTCCAATTCAAATTAACTGATTTTCTCAGAGTCATTTCTAAGAAATTCCTATCTCAGCTCCAGAAGAAACAAGGGTAATAAGAACATCAGTTGTTTCTTGTGAGTTCACAGACCTTGTGGTGTATGAACCTGAGAACCTATTTCCTGTTTGGGGGAGTCACCTAGGAGATCAAGAATTACTTATATGTGCACTGCCAGACTCTGATAGGCCCTGAAGCCCAAGGATGAGGCACAACAAAACACACTGTGCGGAGGGACAAAGACACATGCCACTCTCCAACCTGCTGTGGGTGTCCTTGGTCTTCATCTGCTCTGGTACGGATGGTGCAAATAAGTTCAAGATTGTTAAGAATGAAAGGCATAAACACAGATGTGTGCTTCACACACTCTGGGTGAGGAAAGGGGAATCAGGAAAAAGCAAGCAAATCATGACTTCACCTTTGTCTGTGGGTCCTAAATTAGTCTAAGTCTCACAATATTTCATTCATTATGTCATGGAATCAGCTGTCTCTGATTGTTCCCACAGGATTCAGTGTGGCCCAGAAAGTGACTCAAGTCCAGCCACTCACATCCAGACCAGAAGGGGAAACAGCCACCCTGGACTGCTCCTATGAGACAACCCAGGACTCATACTTTCTTCACTGGTACAAGCAACTGCCCAGTGGAGAGATGGTTTTTCTTATTATGCAGTATTCTTCGCATTCCAATGCAAAGAGTGGTCGCTATTCTATCAACTTCCAGAGCACAGCTAAGTTCATCAGCCTCACCATTTCAGCCTTACAGATGGAAGATTCGGCTAAGTATTTCTGTGCTATCGAGGAACTCACGGTGTTTGAAATGATAGTAAAAGCTGAACAAAAACTCAGGAGCTGCTGCAGGAGCCCAGCTGCAACTGGCACCTGCAGATCCCAAAGGAGAAGGGAGCATAGCCGTTGCTTCACTGTGGTCTGGATCAGACACTTAATTCTAAGTAAAACCTACTTGCTTTCGCATTTGGAAACAGGTGTCAGGAGCAACTTTTCTGTGAATCAAAAATAGATCATCAGAACATATGTAAAGATGTTTAATGTTCAATGCTTGCCCCATAATGACTGAAAGTGTCAGTTTTACTTTAAAATACGCACAGTCCAAATTTAGGTTTAATGATCTGAAACAGCAAGAACATAATTTTGTTAATCTTTTTAGGCTCCCTGTTTGGTACACGGAGCAGAGTCACCATGAACGATGCTGAATGAGAATAATTATAAGGATGAGACATCACACATTAGCTTGATCTGGAAGGGAGCCTCTATGAAGCTATTGTTTGTATAACCACAGTGAGCCTGAATTGAGTGAAGGCCAACTAGATTCACATTTAGGAAGAAAATTTGAGTAAGCACAAGTACTGGAGTTAAATGTGACTTGTGAGGAAGTACTGGGACCTGTGACGTCAAGTGGAACCTTCAACCTAAGACTTGGCTCTCTCCCTACTCCTTCAGTGTCAGTGGGTGTCCATCAAGAGAAGCCATGACATTTACAATGAAGCCATGTACACACCTGGGTCCAGATAGAGGTGCTGGAGGAGGAGCTGTGGTGGGAGGCGGAGCTGTGTCAACAATAAGATAAGTCAGCAAATCATTACCAGCTCAGGAGCACTGAACAGGGTCCTGAGCACACAAGGAGTGGCCTTAGCATCTCACCCACCTTGCACGTGCAGCACCATTTCCTTCATAACCAACCTTAGAGCAGCAAAGCACAGGGAAGCAAACTCTTAAGAAATCCATTTCTAGAGAGTTAAGTTGAGGCAGTGCAATGCTACCCTAAGTACCCCCTATCAGCTTGGGGTAAGCACCTCTTACAAAAACATTTAAAAGTTCAGACAAACACAACAAAACAATCATACTCACATGATGCAACTCCTCCTCTATCGACCACAAACAAACTAACAATTCCTAGTCAGCATAAGAAGTTTGCTTACCCATCTGTGGTGACATTTGTGGCTTTTCTAGTTGAAGCACACTGTACCATTGATATCCTATAGCTTAACTGCAGGGACACAATGAAATATGAGATGAACCTGCATCAGACATCTTATGCCTCTATCTTCAGATGAGTGAGTAGAGACTAAATCATGGTTATTATGGGATGTACCTAAATATGTTCATATCAAAATAGTGTTTCATAACCTTTGCAGTCTATGTTTCTCCAAGTGGACACTCAGTTGCAGCTGGCTTTTACAGCTGTCTCTCCCCAATGCTCTGCCCGCTGTTCCCACAGGTGCCCCCGACTCTCTATAAAATAAGTTGCTCATCAAGGGGCAGTGCTGCCTGAACGCCATAAAGTCAGCTAATACATGCTGTTACTCCGTAACTTTGATTTCAGCAGGAATCACAGATAAGCAAGCGAAAGCAAATCACACTTAAGAACAGCAATAAAATCTTTGAAATACCCAAAGGAAGCTCATACGGTGCTTTCTGAAAAACAACATTAAGGATAAGGCCTCAGTTCTCCTTATGCATAACATAGTTCAAAGATGAAAAAGCATTTTAAAAGTACTTAAAATTAAATAAACTTTCAAGGTGTTTCTCTATGAACATAACATATTTAAATTTTTCGTTGTTGAAAATCATTCTTAAGCCATGTCCATTGCATGTGCTGTGATCTCTGCTGCTCGGAGTGTGAGGCTGAGGCACTGTGCATTCGAAGCCAGTCAGAGAGAAATTAGCCAGACTCTGTCTCAAAAAAAGAAAGAAAGAAAGAAAAAAAAGAAAAATCACAGTTAATCCTGCGGAAAGTCCATTCAGATAATGAAAAAAATGTATTTTCAATGTGTATTTCTTAATTACTATTATTTTAAGGAATGAGATCACTGTGATATCCAGGCTTCTTTCACACTCCTGGGCTAAAGGCACTCCCTTGCCCCAGTCTCCTGACTAGGCTGGACTACGGGCACACACCAAAAAAACAAGCTTTGCTGTGCTATTTCTGAAAAAGGAATTATGCACAGATCTTATACACACATTTTATAAAATTAGTAGAAAAATAACCATCAGTCAGCATTCTGAAAAATATACTACTTCAGATTTAAATACTTCATAACAAATTTACTTAAAAGCACTTAATACCATTATACATTAGAACACTGAAGAAAATGAAAACTTAATCAACAAAATGAAATCTGATACTTGCTGAGGTTACTGTATGTGAGGCCTGGTATTATAAATTTTAGACTTTTCTAATTTAAACAGCCTGACATAGGTTTTGTTGTTTTCATTTACAATGTTGGGAAATGAGATAATGCTTTCCTTAGTGTTGACAAGCATCTCTGATTCAGTGTTATCTTGCATCCAGCATCTGGAGGCTCCTACATTGCAGAGTTCTGGTTATGGAGAAGCAAGGACCTCATAGCACGGTTGCTGCTGTCTGTTATGGTAATATTACTGTGTCTCTCCAAATCCCTAAGAGACTGGAGAAAACTTTCCCAAACTTAGATACAAACTGTCCAAAGCTCAGTACATTCAAAAGCCACCCACTGAGGAATGCGTGCCGCCCTCGGACCTTGGCCTGAGCTGCCGCGCGCTTCCTGCATGACTCCCGCCAGCCTGGATGAATGCCGCCCCAAGGACTGCTGCCCTCCACAACGCAACCCTCTGCATGTCCTAAACCAAGTACTTGATCTTTGGCTCCCACTCCTCCTCCCAGAACCTTGAACTGCAGTAGGTTAACCGTGCTGAGTTGAGGGGAGACTCAGTGACCTCTCACCCAAACAGAAGACCTCAGCAGGCTCCAATCCCTATACTCGTGTGCTTCTCCTGGCATTCATCCTACAACTTCAACAACCCGTTGAAGTTACAGCTTCTTCAACTAGAATGGGACCAAACAGGGTGACACAGAGGGAAGACACTCAGAACAAAACCATGAAAGTGATATAGAACTTCAAAACCAGATAGCACCTCATGGATGCCTGGACTGATGCCACTGGCCCACTCCTCAGCCCAGGACCACATACACTGCTGCACTGTGCTTCCTGTGTGCCCCGCGGATGCCCAGATGGATGCCACCGATCTGTCTCTTGGCCCAGGACTGTGTATGTCACCGCACTACACTTCCTGCAAGCCCCAAAGACACCCTGACTGACACCACCAGTCTGCCACTGCACTCGGCCCAGGACCACCTACCCTGCAGTGCCTCACTTCCTGTATGCCCAGCAGACTGCTGGACTGAGAGCACCCGCTGGCCCCTCAAGAACATTTCCTAACTCCTGGACCTAATGCTGCTGTTGATCTTCAGCTTCCACCCTTTCTGCCAGAACCTTGGACTACAGAGGATTCACTGTGCTAGCTTGTAGATTCAATAACTGCCTCACCCAAACAGAAGCAGGCTCCAGTCAGTGTGGTGAGTATGCCCCTAAAATAGAGGGCTACAGTGGGTAAATAGGGTCAGTAGTAAAGCTCCCTCCAACTAACTGTAAGACCTTGGTGAGTCTGACAAGAGTGTAGGTGACTCCTTCCTGCACACGGAGAACATCAGGCAGGGTGAGGAGTGTGCCAATAAGGATTCCCCCAACTTGGAGAAAATTAAAGGGGCTTATGAGACACACACAGGCAAACAGTAGGGACACAGGATAGCTACAGCTGATACACTATAACCAGAGATATTTGGTCACCTGGAATACCCTGAAAATAAAGTAAAAGCAGGAACTAAAAGTTGACCTACATCAATATTACCAGGCTTGTCAGCCCAGGAAGAATATGCAACTCACCCAACAGGCCTTGCAGGGGGAAGTCAGGTGACTGGCCCTCCTCTTCATTGTGGGACCCAGCAATTGGACAAACATCAACCTTACAGTAGGACCCCAAGATACACGCTACCAACAGTTGACACTAGTGGAACTGAAGGACCAAACATTAACTCGAAAGGGGAAAATGGCAAAATGAAAAAGCAAAATGCAACCTCAAACATCGACGTTTGTGTCCCCCAGGAGCACATACAGGGGACACTGAAATAGAGGACTTCAAAAGTAACGCACCAAAAATCTCTGAAAAGATAGTGAGTGAAATAAAAAAACTCCACGATGCTACAGAGGAAATCAAATTAGATGTAAGTTCTCATGTAAAAACAGAAATAGCAGTCTTAGTAAAGTAGTTGCTGAGCACAGCTAAAGAAGAAATAGAGAAAAAAAGTACAGGAGCATGGGAAACTGATTGAAACCTTGAATAAACAATATAGAAACAAGCAGAATTCATGAAACAAACTCAAAGAGACATCCAAGTAACAAAAAATTCCATTCAAAACTGGCAAAATCATTTAAATGAAGCTGAGGATAGGATTTCGGACCTTAAGGGCAGGATCAAAATTAGTGATCATGAAAGGATAGAACTTTTAAAAATAACAAGCATCATGAAATGACAATCCAGCAACTTTAAGATGATACCAAGAGCAAAAATATAATATTAATAGGCATAAGCAAAGATGCAGGAGTAAATGCAAATGACAGAACTAAACTATTCACAGAAGTAAAAGCAAAAAATTTCCCACACGTGGGGAAAAATCTGACATGCAGTTAAGTGAGGTATATAGACTGCCAAGACACAATCAACATAAATTTGCTCCCAGACATATAATAATTACGATCTTAGGCATACAGCATAAAAACAGAGTACTAAAAGCTATTAGAGAAAGGTCACAACTCACCTATCAAGGAAAGCCCTTGAACCATGGCAGACTTTTGAGCACAAACCATCAAGTCAAGATGAGCTTGGAGTCAGGTATTTCAAGCCCTGAAAAAAAACAACTTTCAACCCAGAAGGATGTACTCAGAAAAACTTTCATTCAGATTTAATAGAGAAAAAAGATACTTCCAT